TTTATTGAACCATAGCTTAATAAATTTACGTGAAATGTGTGCGAATAGAAATCTTTCTTGTATGAATGTACCTTCTTGTACGAGTGCGTAGAGTGATGTATCATAAACTATACCTATTATAGTTTTATCTAAAAATGTATGTAGTATGTATGAATTCTTTATGGAAATGTATTAGTGTTGTGAATTTATTGAACCATAGCTTAATAATTTACGTGAAATGTGTGCGAATAGAAATCTTTCTTGTATGAATGTACCCTTCTTGTACGAGTGCGTAGAGTGAGTATCATAAACTATACCTATTATAGTTTATCTAAAATGTATGTACTATGTATGAACTCCTTTATGGAAAAGTATTAGTGTTGTGAATTTATTGAACCATAGCTTAATAAATTTACGTGAAATGTGTGCGAAGAAATCTTTCTTGTATGAATGTACCCTTCTTGTACGAGTGCGTAGAGTGATGTATCATAAACTATACCTATTATAGTTTATCTAAAAATGTATGTAGTATGTATGAATTCTTTTATGGAAATGTATTAGTGTTGTGAATTTATCAAAACTATACTTTTTTATAGTTTAATAATACGTGTCCCAAAATGAATGAATAATATTTAAATATGAATGTCTTAGAGTTCATAATGATAAACTAACTAGGAAACACATTCAAACATTAAAACTTATGAATTATACACTTTGCTCAACATAATACAAAGTGTTATGATATTTACATGCTGTTGGCAAAATTTAGCAATTCTGCCCTGTTTTGAAAAATCATAGAAAAATCATACGAAGTCGAAAACTAGATCCGTAAATTCTGAGAGTTCACAAAATGTGTCTAGTTTGCTCATAATTTTTTATCACAATTTATAATGACTTCTAACTTGGGTGAAAAAGTCCATAATCACAGACTGGTCCGGATTGTTGTTTGAAATGATAGGCAGTTTTGTAAAAATCACCATAAATTGTAGAAAAATCGTATGGAGATGTGCAAGTAGCCATTTTAAAGCTAAAAACTTGAACTAGTTGCACCTTGTACAGTTTTTGAAAACAAAAATGTTTAAGATGCCCAAAACAGTCCGTGAATGGAGTTGAACTTTTCTGATGAAGGCTGTTAGAAAAATCTAGTTATGTTCTTAGTGTTTTAACTTGTATCCCCCCCCTGAAAACTTGAGAAAACATGAAAATGTAGGGGTATGAACTCACCTTGAGTGATTTCAGTAGATGATTGTGGAAGAATGGAAGTGTTTAATTCAAGAACACTTGGAGATGCCTTGAAGGTTTTCGAGAATTAAGTGTGGAAGAACACTTGAATCCAGCCTTGGATCTCGAAAATTTGTGTAGAAGAGTTTGAGAGAAAAAATGATGTTCGTTACTTAGTGGAATGAGAGAAATGAGAGAAATGAGGAGTGTGGTTGATTGTTCCAGCTCAAAAACGTGGGAGTGAGTGAAATTTGAGTGTAAGGGAACATTGAAGTGACATAGGTAAGGTGGGGAGGTATGGCTGGTCATAGAGTGGGTGTGGGGTGGTTGCTTGTGACTGCGGATCAATAACACTGCTTTGAATGCGAAGTTGGATTTAGCTTTGCTATAAGTTTCAATCGATTTTGAAATTAAGTATTGTTCGCATTTGTATGAGTGTAGTCGATGAATCGATAAAGCAAGAACATATGAGTTTTGATTCGCAATTGGATTGATGATTGAGGGATGATTCGTGAAGAAAAACGCGAAGTCAAGGACTATGAAATTGTTGTTTGCAAGAATTTAAAACTCGATTGTGGAGTTGTTGCTGCTCATTTTGCGAAAGTAAAACAATCGAGTGTTCGCATCTATGAATCAATTTGAAGTCAATTGGGTTAATATTCGCATATGGGTTCAACATATGAATTTTTGATTTCGCAAGTTTAGAGTTCAAGAACTAAACTGTGTTCGCATTTTTGGAATGAAAATTTTGTGAATCGCATTTGATTATTTGGTTAAAATGCGAAGGTGATTAATGCGAAGGGATGCGAAGGGTGTAAAAATGAAAATGCGAAGTATTTCACAGTAGAATGCGAATTGGGGAAGAAAACAGGATTTCAATTATTGTCCCTGGAGTTTCGCATTTTTGGAATGAAAATTTTGTGAATCGCATTTGATTTATTTGGTTAAAATGCGAAGGTGATTAATGCGAAGGGATGCGAAAGGTGTAAAAATGAAAATGCGAAGTATTTCACAGTAGAATGCGAATTGGGGAAGAAAACAGAAGATTTCAATTATTGTCCCTGGAGTTTCGCATTTTTGGAATGAAAATTTTGTGAATCGCATTTGATTAATTAGGTTAAAATGCGAAGGGATGCGAAGGGTGTAAGAATGAAAATGCGAAGTATTTCACAGTAGAATGCGAATTGGGGAAGAAAACAGAAGATTTCAAATATTGTCCCTGGAGTTTCGCATTTTTGGAAATAAATACTCAACTTCGCAAATGGGGGTCATAAAATGATTTCTCATTAGAATAGAGAGTTATGTAGAAGTTTCATAGTGTGAATTTTAGTACTCATGGGCAAATTGAGTCGAACGGTTTGACTTGCTGACTTTAGTTGACTTTGACTTGACCGAAATTTGACGGTTGTCACATCATCCCCCCGTTAGAGGGAATTTCGTCCCGAAATTTGAATTTAGGAAAGGAGTAGGCATGAATAATCAAGCTGAGAAGTGAGGATACTTCTTACTCGACTGACTCACGCCCTCCCATGTGACTCTAGGTCCGTGGTTAATATTCCAGCGAACTTTCACTAATGGGAAGTGGCGTTGTTTCATCCGCTTGACCTCGTTCCATGGTCACCATGGTTCTTCTGAGAAGGTGAGGCTCTTGTGGAACTCGATCTCGTCGAGGGGAATTGCAAGAGTCCTGTCGGATAGGTACTTCTTGTAACTTTGGGACGTGTTGGGTAGAGCGTACTTTACTAAACTCGCGGGAGTAGATTGAAGGAGCGAGTTACAGGGCTGATTCTGACAAGAATCTCGAAAGACACAATTATTTGGGGTATTGGCTTTCCATGCTTTCCGAAGCGTACTAAGCCTTCCCAGAGTGAGTGTTTCTAGAGGAATTCGGTCGGTCATACCGGAGTTCTAGAGGTTTCTTCTTCTTGTTTCTCTTCCTGTCACGGGTTGCTCCCTTTAGGGTCAAAGTTGGGAGGGGTTTCGTATTTTTCGAGAAGTTCCAAAGGAACTAAGACAGTAGGTCAGCAAGACCCAGAATCTTGGCGTATTTCTGCTAACGCCTTCGGTGCTGACTGTTTCTCTATGGTTTTGATCGATTGAAAGGTTCCTTATGAATTTCCACCCTGGGTAATGATGTGTCTTGGGAATTGAACTCCTCAATTCCTAAACTCGTATCTGGAGAACTTCGGGAAATACTTCTCTTATCGTAT